AAAATAAAAGAAATTTTAGTTATTTGCAAATTACGAGTAGGGGATGAGGTGAAGAAGGGGAAAAAATCAAACTTCTGAGTCATTTGTAAGATACCCCAAAAAAATAAAAGAAATTTTAGTTATTTGCAAATTACGAGTAGGGGATGAGGTGAAGAAGGGGAAAAAATCAAACTTCTGAGTCATTTGTAAGATACCCCAAAGTTCAAGAGAGTTATGCGAGATAAACAAAGTTCATGAGAGTTATGTGCAACACCCCCAAAGTTTAGGTTGGGTGTTGTGAATTTTACAATTATCCAATGCAGATATATTTTTTCTGGTAAGAGCTATTATTCCAAATTTCCATCGGATCTCTTCATTATCAAAGAAGTAGTCGAGAGACTACTATTTTATCATAATAAGTGCTCTATTATGTATTTCGTTTAAAAAATACTTGACGAATTGGATTTGTGTGCCTTTTCATTCGAAGATATTCATTCTTATTTTTCTTACTGAAGTTACAACAAGCGCCAAATTCATATCACTAACGTATAAAAAAATAATCATAGTTTCATTCTCATAAAATTCAGAAGATACACATCAAAATGTGTCTAAAGTATAACATATGTTAGATACCTATAAAGAAAGTTAATCCACATATATATGAAATTTATCTGCTACTTTATGTCACAGAAATACTCATGAATAAGGGAAATCCATATGACAAGACCAAAAATAAGTTTAGAATTCAGCGTTAGCGATTCTTAAATCTTTAATTAAAATCTAATTAGCACAAAATTATTTCTATTAGAGCTCCGGTATGGCTTATTACATTTATAACTTAAAGTGAAAAGAGAGAATCATCAATCCGTGCAAGTTAAGAGAATCATAGAGAACACACGACGTTGTTTCATGAAAATATTAACCTAATGAAATGTATTGCTTTGAAGCTTTACAAGTCATACACGTATAGAGCAGGAGGAGCCATGAAAGAAAAATCAGACTCATTGTCTTATTTGTAAAGCAATGGGACGTCAAATAAACCAAAAGCAGTGATTTCCTTGGATTATTACAACGACCATTATTTTAGATCAGGTGCATGTTTTTAAAAATTACAACGCTCAATTGTAGCTCTGTCCTTAGTTAGAATGCATCACAATCGTCCATTAGACAATCAACGATTAGGATTAAAAGTAGTGATCTATCTACTGTTTTTTAATAGTAAATATGATCCAAATTATACGTAAATGGTAGTACAAGACGATGAATTTAAAAGACAACTGTTAGGAGTAAGTATACAGGGCAACATTTCTGATGTTGTATTATTATATTTCAGTTAACAAACATAAGAAAAAAAGAAGTTACTACGGAGCGTGACCAAAATAAAATCACATGAGGGTGCTCATTTCTCGAACACCAAATACAGTACGGCCTCTTGTGGGTCCTTACGCGAGACCATAAATTAAAGGAGTCGCTGACAGAGCCAATGCGAGCGGAGAGAGATTATAGTGAGATACAGAGCACTAGGAAAAAAAAAAAGGATAGAGAAGGAGAGGCGAAGACGAGGGGGCACCATTCACGAGGAAACGTGATCTCTCTTCCTCTCGTATTCTCATCCCGATCGAGGAACGATCGACTTGGTTTCACCGCCTCGGGGGTGGACCTAAGCGACCCTTCACCTCTCCCTCGTCCTCACCCTCTCACATCACAATAGAAGCAGCAGTGGGAGATCGAGGTTCCGACACTTCGCGGTTAATTTAAGCTTTCATGATGGCGTGGTGGCGGAGGATGGTATTCCCTGTAAAGAAAGCTCTTGTCGCCGTCGCTTCCCGAGTTAAGCCCAGAAAAGACGGTAACCTTACTCCCCCTCTCTTTGGAACCGGCAACTAACTTACGAATTTCTTGCCCATTTCAGTTATAATAATCCATTTTACCATGAAAAATTGAGCATTGCATCACATAGGAATGCTGAGTACATAGACTTCTTCCGTTCAAACGTTTTTTTTTTTAATATTTACTTTTTTTTTAAGAGAAAGAAATCAATTTGAAGAGTTTTATTGCAGTTTCTAGATTACACGCTCAAATGTAGGTAGATGTACAAAACACAATATACCATAGAATGCCCAAGTGGATATAAACGCGGAACTTATCCATAACAGTATTATTACTATTGCCATTATTGTTATATTTTGTTGTCGTTATTAAGAGGTAACATCTTGGGCTAATAATTACCACAGTGAAGAGAGCACTTCTTAAATACAAACCGCCCATTTATATAAAAAAACAAACAAACTAAGAATGAGGGAAACTAATTTCAGTCTCTGTGAAATTGGGCAGGGAAAGGGATTCTAAAGCTTCACGATGACGTGCAAACTTGTGAGTACCAAGATGTGCAGATAATGTGGGAGATGTTGCAGAAGGCAGAGATGGAGCTAATGCACGCTCCGAAGAGCAAGAGCAAGAGATCCGCAGGAATAATGTAGCGTATCATAATCCTTAACCTCAATCCCGATCCTAATCCTAAATGGTGGGTTAATTACAAGTCTCAGTTAGACCCAATTGTTAGTATGTTGGAAGTATTAGCATCCATCCCCTGTTTTGTACATATTAGCCACTTTGCTTTCGGTCAACCTTTCGAAACTTGAGGGGTTGAGCAAAGGAGAAGACTATAGGTTTTGGTCCAGTAGAGTTAGTTGAGGGGATTTTGGGGGCCAATGTGATGTAGAGTTTTCTCACTCTAGTGTACTCTTTGTGTCAATAAAATTTTATTTACAATACGGATTAGTACGTTAGTAGTTCAATTTATTGATGATTCAAGTCGTGCACATTAATTATAGTTTTAAACTAAATCATGCAAATAAGGAAGTTGATAAAGCTGAGAATTAATATATGTTAGGCTTTAGGTCAAGCATGGACTTAAGTTTTGGTTCATTCTATAATAAAATTGAAAAAAAAATACATCAGAGTACTGCTTTAAGGGGCAAAATAGGTAGATTCATACCTTAACGGACGCTTGAGAGCTGGGGAAATGAACATTTGGTCCTGGTGCATAAGCTAAAGTATGCAAGAGGTGATCTCATAAAAATTTTACTGGGGCTCGTGATTTGAACAGGGCTATGGTCTTGAGCCAATTGGGTCAGATCAACCTTAGCCCGTCTCTTTGACGGGCCTCTACAGCCCAATTACTAGCTCCTTGAAAAAGGTGTGGAGAAAGAAGAAATCATCTTTACCACTGTTGAGTTGCTGCTCCTTGAAGTCTGAACTCTATCCACTGTAATAATTGAGTCCTATAACATTTTAACCGATAAGAGCTTACTTTTACAATGAGTGTTGCTAAAGGGACTCCAGAATAGGGTAGGTATCCTGCATAGGACAGGTAAGGTATCGCATTCCTGTCCTGTGATGCACTGTTTATGAATAGTACATCACGAGACATGGAGACGACTGCACTTTACTTGTTCCACTCATGATCTACTATTTTAAGGTCCCTAAGCTATTTTTTTCTCTTGCAATTCACGTATTTCTATTTTTAATGACCAAATATTATGTAACATTGTTCATGGATGGATGTCAAACGTCAATGAATATACTTGCCCCTCGCTCTCGTGTCACCAGCCCATAGCCACCCAGTCAGCAGATTAGATATCACTTTCCACTCAATAAGTACTTTAATTGACCACGTATTGTAGAATATTTAAATCTTTAACTCTATTGGCGCCTTGTGCACATTGAATTTTCTTTACTCTTATTGGGCTTGGTTTTGTATGTGGGCTTTGGTTTAGTCAGCCGTTAGCTCTATTAAGATGGTACGGCCACTCAAATTCAACACTCAACCTCCTACATTTTGTTTTGCAAAATATTTTATGTGTATTAATCATTTCCTTTAGAAATTTACCATCACCAAATGTTATCTAGAACCAAAATAAATGGTATTGGAGTTAAAAACAAGCAATTCAAGGTGCTCTATACGTAATACGCCTAAACAATTTGTGATTAATTATCAAGTCAGCAATTAGATCAGACAGAAGTCTCAAGATTTATTATTGTTGATAGAATTTTGAGATAACTTATAAAGGCAGATCAAGACAAATATATTGTTCAAAAACCAAAGTCTAGCATGCTTGAAGACCTCCTGTTATTTTCATGGAGACTGTTTAGTTGCGGGAGTTCTTTACGCTTCGGTTTATTTCTCCCTTCAAGGAAATTTCTTACAATGCAAGTCCGTTAGTTTCTTTTTAAAAAATTAAATTAAAAAAATAGTATGCAAGTATCAGAATGGTCTTGTGAGGAAGTGCAAAATATATGAACCAAATCTCAAAACGGTGGGTTGACAGAGTCAAATAAATTTTGGACAACTATATAACAAATTGACGAACAAGAGTACTCCCTTAATTCAAGATTCAATATAAAAAAATTGTGATAGCATCATCTATGTAATTAACTAATCTCTACATAATCCCTAATTCAACTGACAGCATTTATGATATATTAGGAATTTGTCTTTTTCTATAAGGGCTGTTTTCAGCTGAGTAGTGGTTTGGTTTGTTCTGCTAACAAATGGATTAGCCGGCCGAATCATTAACCAAAACCTTTGTTAAGTTTTTGATTTGTTGAGTTAATGATTCAAGTCCAATCGATTAGCTACTTACGTGGTATTTGAATCTCTTTGAGCATCCGTTTAATTCCTTGAACACGTGATGCTCAACTCCAAATATTTAACTCTCTTGCCACCCTCTCTCTAGGGTTTTGAAAACCCTAAATCTAAGTCCGTTCCGTTTTCTCTCTGAAAACGCGTAACGTTTCTCTTCCCCTCCCTCGTGATGGGGCTCTATCGGCAAGATCTGGCTGTTGCTTTCGGTTTCTCCGGCCGGTTTCTACCTTCTTTGTGCAGCAATGCCCTTCCTGTCTCGCGCCGGCAGTTTACGGCGAATTTATTTGACGAGATCTGAGTTTCGTCCCCAACCTTCGTGGCAGCCCTCGAGGTTTCTCATCGGTAATTCTCGCCGGCAAGGCTTCGGTGGGTCTCCATCGGCGATTTCCAGTGCATCCTCGTCAGTTCACACCAGTTTTCTGGCATTGTTTTTCTCCGTCATTGCTCATTCGAATTTCATTTTCGTCTCGACTCACACGAACGACATCGCCATTTCATACTTAGTAACAGTATCACCGTTTCAAGACCGTCTCTCGGTCTCAAACCAACGACATTGCCGTTTCAAGACCGTCTCTCGATCTCATATTAACGGCATCGCCATTTCATATTTAGTAACGACATCGCCGTTTCAAGACCGTCTCTCGGTCTCAAATCAACAGTATCATTGTTTCAAGACCGTATCTCGGTCTCATATTAACGGCATCGTCGTGTTTTTTTAGTAACAACATCATAGTTTCAAGATCGTCTCTCGGTTTTAAATCTACGACTTTGTCGTTTCAAGACCGTTCTCGGTCTCAAATTAACGGCATCACCGTTTCAAGCCGTTCTGTCTTGCTGTTTTGCTGATTGTTTGGGCTACTAGTGGTTATTTTTGTTCTGTTTTTGGGGGTTAGTGTGCTAGAACATGGCGAGAATTGATGATGATGGGCTGGCCGAGCTTTGTGCCAAATGCAGCTTAGATGACGAAGATGACCCTGTTTTTTTGTCAACCAAGGACCAGACAGATTCGCCTTCCCCAACAACTGTCTTCTAGGGAAGGTTTTTGGTAGGAGGATTGCTAATAGAGATGGCCTTAAGCATATCCTTAGGAGGATCTGGACTATAAATGCCCCCTTCCAGGTGGAATCTTACAGTGGAAGGAATACTTTCCTTTTCAAATTTGGTTCCGATGCAGACAGAAAAAAAGTGCTTGATGGTGGGTCGTGATGCTTTAAAAGAAACTTGCTGAATTTGATTGTTCCTCGTAGGGTTGGTGCCCAAACTTCTCTGGATTTCTCTTTAACTCTGTTCTAGGTACATGTCAAGAATGTACCACTTGTTGCGATGAACGAGAGGTGCGCTAGAGACTATGGCTCGCTTATAGGAGAACTTATAGGGATTGATTTGCGGGATAACAAGATGTGGCTGAGGATTCTCGTGGATATTACTAAGCCTCTAAAAAGAGGCATACGTGTTTGCTTTGAAGAGACCGGGGGGATTGAGAAGCTCTACCTCACTTATGAGAGTTTTCCTGACTTTTGCTTTTCATGTGGTATTATTAGTCACAAAGCTGCTGAGTGTGACAAACGAAATGTACAAGCCGATGATATTTTTATCACATCCAAAAGCAGATATGGTTCTTGGCTCAGAGAACCTCCTCCATCTTTTAAGGCCCCTGAGACTCGGTCTTCTGGAGCAACTGAAGCAGAACGTGAGGGGCAGAAACAACCATCCTCTCAGGTGGTCTCAGATGATACTCAGGTTGATGACTCAGGTGGTAGTTCTCCACTACAGATTATTCCAGTCACGGTGGGTTGTGAGACCCCTCTTGCACCCTTGGCCATGGATACCAGTGTTGGCTCTGATTTGCATGATGTTACAATTTTCACATCTACCTCAGGAAAGCGGTCTTTATCGACCTGGAAGAGGCTTGCTAGCGGGTCTGGGCAGTAGGACTCCAAACAGAATGGGAAAAGGAGCAAACGCAGAAAATATTCTCTGAAGGTTCCTCCGGGTGTACATGAGAAGAGGGCACGGTTGGAGGTTCCCGGTCTAAATTCTACTCTTGTTGAGGCGCGTGATAATCACATTTTTATTATAATTTTATACCCTCATTATTTATTCTTAATGAATAAATAATTATTTTTATCTTTAATTACAGGTTAATAAAGAATAAATCTCAAAATCTCTTCTCTCAACAAAAGTCCATGAAGAATACAAGCAAAAGGCCAAAGACAAAGCTCAAAAGCCCAAAGGAAAGAAGAAAAACTATGGCTAACAATTGGAGAAGCATGTGCATCGATGCCATCATCGATGTTGGTATCGATGCCGACGAGAGTTTGTTACGCATCTAAGGCTGAAATTTAAGGGTTTTGGATAAGAATTCAATCCAATGACTCACATTCATTGATGTTTACTATAAATAGGGGTAGAGAGTGTGGGGTTAAGGGTGTAAAAAAATTTGTAACTCTATTTGGAGAGGAGGGTTACTCTTAATTGAGAAGATCTTCTTATTTTGTAACTTTTGTTACAATCAATAAAAGCATCTTTTTTTTTACCACTTTAAATTTTTTTCACTTCGTTTAATGATGATGATGGAGATGAATATTAATTTGAAGGTTTTTTTATTTTATTGTCAATTTTCTCTTTTATTTCTTATTTCTTTTTAGTAATTTCTTTTTTATTGTTTATTCAGTTTAGATTTACATTCATGTATTGTAGAGTAGAATTATTTTCTTGTCTTTATTTTATTTTGCATTTTTAATTTGTAGAATAGATTTATTTTCTTACATAATGTAGATTTTTATTTCTTTTTATAATTTAGTTAGGTGTATTTCTTGTTCATAGTGTAAAGTTCCTTGTTCTTATTTCTTTTCTTTGTAATTAGTTCTTATTCTTTTTATTTTATTCATTATTTTTATTTCTTAAGATGTGGAACTAACTCTTGTAGGAATCTTAGAATTATATGAAATTATCTTTATTTCCTTTATATTGTATGAATTATTCTCTTATGCTTAAAATGATCATGCATAGGATAATCAATTAGAGAACTAATTGGTAGAAGAAGAGTTTGATAATCTATAATTACTATCTTGTTGTTGTTCTTATCATGAATATTAATTTTTCTTAGATGATAATTTGATAGGT